GGGGCACCCAAGCCTGCCCCCAGCTCTGGCTGGGGAGGGGTTGCAGGTGCCCCTCACCTGCTGCCCCCAGGAAGAGCTGGGGGGTCTCCTGGGTGGTGCTGGCCGGGAACAGCCTCATCTTCTACAAGGAGCCCAAGGGACCGGCATCCACTGCCTGGGTGAGTGGGGGCACTGGGGTGGGCTGGGACAGTGGGAGAGTGCTGGAGCATCAGGAAGTATGGGGGGGACAGTGCGGGGAGAGGACTGTGGAGGAATACGGGGGGCTGTGGAGATACAAGGGGGACAGGGCACCTGTGACACCTGGTGCCCCCCCAGTGCCCTGCCAGCAGCCGCCCTGAGAGCAGCGTGGACTTGCGGGGGGCTGCTCTGGATTGGGCCCGTGACCTCTCCAGCAAGAAGAACGTCATCCACGTGAGTGGCTGGGGATGTGGGTATGTCTAAAGTGAACAGCCCAGGGGACGTAGGGCTCTCCATAACAATCTGGGCATCACAGGGATCCCCCTAAATGCAGCCCATGGAGAAGGGGACCCCACAGCCCAGCATGTACAGGAACTCCCAAAATGGGACAAAGGGGTGCCACTCATATACACCCCTGGGGTGTGTGGGGGTGTAGCATAGGGACCCCCCTTGGGTTAGGGACACCACCATTGGGGGGGGCAGGGCACCCCTGGAGTGCCTGGGTCCCCCTGGCCCATGTAGGGATCCCCGGGAGTCCCTGTTCCCCCTCCATCCTGCTCCCTGCCCCCGCCAGCTCCGCACTGTGACGGGTAATGAGTTCCTGCTGCAGTCGGACCAAGAGGCCACCATCCAGGAGTGGGCCCGGGCCATCCGGGGAGTCATCCGTCGGCTGGTGAGTGCCTGGAGGGGGGCAGGGGTTGCTCCATGGCTGCCTCCAGCCCCATTGGCATCCCCAGCTGTCCCTGTTCACCACCATCTCCTGCCAGGACCTGGAGAACCCCGTGGATGCACCTGTGGGGTGGCTGCACCGGGGGTATGCTGGGGACCTGATGGAGCTCAGCGGGGATGAGGACGAGGCGTCGCGGGTCACTGAGGGGGCTGGGGCTCCAGGTAGGGTTGAGGGGCTGAGGGGGGGAAAGCAGGCCTCAGGGCTGGCGAGACTGTGACCGTACCTGAGCCCACTGTGCCCCTAGGTGCCCCCCCCACCCCTGACTCCTCAGAGAAGAAGCGGGTGAAGAGCAAACTGAGGCGCTTCATCGTGAAGCGGCCCCCACTCCAGAGCCTGCAGGAGAAGGGGCTCATTCGAGGTGGGGCTCCATAGCTGCCAGACCTCCCCCCAAGTCCCACCACGCCCTTGGGACCTCCCCAAACCCTCCCACATCTTGTTTCTGCCCCCAAAGTGGGAAAGAAAGAGAGTGCCTGAGCCCCTCATTGAGCCTTGGCTGCCTGTCCCCAGTGGATCCCAGTGCCTGTCCCCCTGCCCAGTGTCCCTGCTCTGAGTCCCTGTGCACCCATTGGTACCAGTGTCCCTCCCAAGTCCCAGCATCCCCTCCTGGCCCCTGTGTGCCCTCCTGATCCCAGTGTCTGTTGTCATCCTAGTCCCCCACCCTAGTTCTAGAACTGCCCTGTGCACCTACTGGTCCCAGTGTCTCCCTCCAGTCCAGCATCTCTTCCTGGTCCCAGTGTCCTCTCCCAGTCCAGGTGTCCCTCCGTGCCCTCACCACTGCTTTCCCGGTCCCCAGCTTTTCCTCCCAGTCCCTGTACCCCTCCCCCCAGTCCCATTTCACCCTGCCGAGTCCCAGTGCTCCCAGGGCCCATGTCTGCCCTCTCCCAGACCAGGTGTTCGGGTGCCGCCTGGATGCGCTGTGCCAGCGGGAGAGCACCACAGTGCCCCGCTTCGTCCGGCTCTGTGTGGAGGCCATTGAGGAGAGAGGTAGGGTCTTCCCAGCTGGCCTGGCCCCCGCAGCTGGCATGACTTCCTCCACCATGTCTCCGCCCCCCTCATTGTCCCCAGGCCTTGACGTTGATGGGATCTACCGGGTCAATGGGAACCTGTCTGTAATTCAGAAGCTGCGTTTTGCCGTGGACCGGGGTGAGGAGACTGGGGGAGCACAGGATGGGGATGCTGGAGAGAGGACAGGGCAACTGTGTTGGAGCACATGCCCAGGGGTGGGGGAAGGCAGCTTTTCCATGAACCCTCCTTCATCCCCACAGAGCGAGCTGTGACCTCAGATGGGCGCTATGTCTTCCCTGAGCAGCTGTGCCAAGGTCAGCCAGGGTGGCTGGGCAGTGGGTGGCCCTGGCAGTGCTGGGGCCTTGGGTGGCCCAGGCACAAGCTGACCTCCACCGTTCCTCCCAGAGGAGCGGCTCAGCCTGGCAGACCCCGAGTGGAGCGATGTCCACGTGGTCACTGGTGCCCTCAAGCTCTTCTTCCGGGAGCTGCCTGAGCCCCTAGTGCCCTACAGGCTCTTTGACCCCTTCATTGAAGCTATAAGTAAGTGCCCCCCTTTTTTTCCCCTGCAGGTCCCCAGGCTATGAGTGTGGGGGTGGGGGGGACAGGACGCAGTGTCTGACTGCTGTGGCTCCCACCTAGAGCTGCCAGATCCTCAGGAGCAGGTGAAGCGAGTGGCTGAGCTGGTGCAGAGACTGCCTCCTGCCAACTATGCCA